GGACTGAGGAGTTGGAAGGGACTGCAAGGGTCACATCTAGTTCAGCCTCCTGCAACTCAGGAATCCCAGCTAAAGAATCCCTGACAGATGGCCATTGACCCCTGCTTAAAAAACCCCAAGGAGGGAGAGTCCACCACCTTGCGAGCCAAGGCCCTGTGACTCCGTTGTTTCCCTCATTATGAAATAACCAGACAAGACAGAAGATATATACAGTGGTACCTCGGTTTACAAACTTAATCCGTTCCGGAAGTCCGTTCTTAAACCAAAATCGTTCTTAAACTGAGGCGCGCTTTCCCTAATGAGGCCTCCCACTGCCGGTGCCCTTCTGCCATTCAGATTCCGTTCTTAGACCGAGGTAAAGTTCTCAAACCGGGACACTATTTCCAGTTTGGAGGAGTTCGTAAACTGAGTAGTTCGTAAACAGGGCTGTTCTTAAACCAAGGTACCACTGTAGAATGGGTTCAAATTAGGCCACAACTTTATTGATTACAGATGTGAATGGTTTGACTTAGGCACAGGGTGGAGCCATCCCCTCCAACCCCTCTGCTGGGAGAGCATCTAAGGGTGAACTACCACTAGAGGGAGCCCTAATGAGCTACATCAAATAGGGGTACATCTGAGGGGTCCCAGTTGGAAGGAGTGCTATGGCCCTGGCTCCCACCTGGGCATTCGGATAGAAGCAGCTCTTCCTGGATCCCTTTACCAGGATACCCTTAACCAAGGAGGGGCAGGCAGAGGCTACAACCTTCCCTCGAACCAAGACTAGGCTTAAAGGTAAAGGTACCCCTGACCATTAGGTCCAGTCGTGGCCAACTCTGGGGTTGCAGCGCTCATCTCGCTTTATTGGCTGAGGGAGCCGGCGTACAGCTTCCAGGTCATGTGGCCAGCATGACTAAGCTGCTTCTGGCGAACCAGAGCAGCGCACAGAAACGCCGTTTACCTTCCCGCCAGAGCGGTACCTATTTATCTACTTGCACTTTGACATGCTTTCGAACTGCTAGGTTGGCAGGAGCAGGGACCGAGCAACGGGAGCTCACCCTGTCGCGGGGATTCAAACCTCCGACCTTCTGATCTCCAGTGCTTAACCTCACAAAGTTGTGACAATTGCTGCATTTATCCTAAATAATAAAAATAAGAATAGGAATTTTATTTATCTGCCTATCTGACTGTGTTGCCCTAGCCATTCTGGGCAGCTTCCAATGTATATAAAAACATAATTAAACATTAAACATTTAAAAGCTTCCTTGTACACGGCTGCCTTCAGATGTCTTCTAAAGGTTGTATAGTTACTTATCTCCTTGGCTCAGAGGTTGCATAACTCAATACCCTTCAACATTTCCCTGATGAAAATAGGGACGTCCTAAGGAAAGGACATTCAGGGATCAAATCAGAAGCTAGGATGGTTTCTGTAAATCTTGGACTGTTCCCTGGAAAGCAGGGACACTTGGGGGGGGGGAGTCTGTTGCTACAAGGTAGGTGGAAACCCAATGGCTGGTGCCAATTTGCCAAGTGGAAATCTTCCTACCTGGCCCTGAATATGGCAGCCAACAGTGCCATAGCAAAGTCTAGTCTGCAGAAAGAAACTTATGAAAAAGTGAAGGGAGGGTGGGAGAACTGATTATGGTGAAGTGGGAAGGAGGCCTGGTCAGGCCTCAATTTATTGCCCCTGGGTGCAGACCCAAGTGGCATTTATCGGTTGGTTGGGTCTGCCCCCAAGGGGAATTCCACCTCACACTTGCCTGCAATTGGCCAATCTTTGGGCAGGCAAATCCACCTAGACAACCTTCCCAGCTTGCAGATGTGGGCATGGTCAGGCTGCAATGACTTCCAACTATGAAAGGTAAGTGGACTTCTGAGACCATAGAATTATAGAACTGAAGAGTTGGAAGGGATCCCAGTGGTCATCTAGTCCAACCCCCTGCAATGCAGGAATCACAGTTGTTTTATTTTTGGATTCCTTTTCTAATGATCCTTAGCAAGGAATTTTCTTTTTCTCAGTTGCCATGCACTGGGTGTGTCTTGTTGAAATCCTCTATCTGCCCACACCCCATCTCCCAGCTGCAATTCTACCAATTCTTCAGATATTGTATCAAGGGAGGGAGGAGATGGTTGACTTTATAAAACCCACAATTATGGCTAAAGTCAATAATCCTCCGTTTCATTGTCCCTATTCACAAGCTTCTATTCTCACCCAATGCACCACCCTTTTTGCCATCTGTCATAGTTTAATGGGTTTATAGCAGGGATTATTTGGACTCATCCGCCTGTCAGATTAATGTGTCATTATCAGACTGAATGGGATCGCTCAGCCTGAACCAGTCTAGGAGAGACGCTCTGAGCTCATTAAGAGAGATCATAAAATGCTCTTGAAGCCTCATCTCCGCATTACACACTGCGAGCAGATAACTGAAAAGTCTAAGCTGTCGGAGTCAGGAAGGGGTTGTTCTATCTCAGCGGTGGAGTTCACACCTTGCACGGGTAATTTCAGTGTCAATGTCTGGCTTACACACACACACACACACACACACACACACACAGTCTCAGTAGATTTAGGGAAGCCACATCTGTGTTTGTCCACATGCCCCAAAGAGCATGAGAACAGTATGCTGGATCAGGCCAATGGCCCATCTAGGGCAACATTCTGTCCTCACAGCTGCCAAATACCACACAGAATCTAGGATTCTGGATAGACTGCTTTTGGCCTTGGAGGTTCCACAAGAACATAAAAAGATCCTTTTTGCTGTATCAGGTTGTAATCCAGCACCCTGTCCTCGCAGTGGCTAACCAGATTTATTTATTCATTACATTTATTTCCCACCCTTTCCCAAGGAGCTCCATTTCCCCATTTAATCCCCACAACAACCCTGTGAGGTGGGTTAAGATGAGCAGCATCCCAGTGCAGGATGCTTCCCTTCCCCTCCTTTGTTTTCCAGCAACTAGTATTCAGAAGCATTGCTACTTCCAATTGTGGAAGCAGATTGTAGTCATCGTGGCTAGTAGACATTGATAGCCTTATCCTCCACAAATTTGTTTAGTCCTTCAGTAAAGCCACCCAAGTTAGTGGCCATCCCTTCCTCCTTTTTCTCCATAGAGCTCAAGGTGGCTTGCATAGTTCTGAGCCTTTTCATTCCCCAAAACAACCCTGCAAGGTAGGTTAGACCAAGAGTGAGCAACTGGTCCAAAGTCTGCTTCATGGCCAAAGTGGGAATACGAACCCTGGTCTCCTAGGTCCTAATCCAATACTTGACACTTCCTCTTTTCCCAGGCCTTTGGCTAATTAAACCATTTATGCCCTTTTAAACTGTGTGGTGGGGGGTATTGTTTTTGTTTGTTATTACAAGGTGTATGTGTGTGTGTGCGTGTGTTCATATTGTAAATCGCCCTGTGTTCTTTGGATGAAGGGTGGCAGAGAAATAAAACAAACAAGCAAACAAACCATTACACCACACTGGCTGTGTTGACAAGGTTGTTGGGGAAACTAGGAGAACATGCCAGCAGAACTACCCTTCCCCAATATGCTGAAAGAGTGGGCACGGCCAGGGTAGGACATCATAAATAAATGTGGAAGGAAGCCTCCTCTTTGCAGGTGCCTGCTTTGGCTTCACAGCTGTGTTTGAATGATCCATTTCATTTGTTTCTGCAGCCTGGTGGCAACTCTCCCTCTCCCAGCTCACTGTTTTGGAACAATCGCTGTAATTTGGCAGTGAGGCTGGTGCTCTGAAATGGGGCATCCTCCATCCCTCTGTTGAGTTGAGATCCAGACACCTACTTTAGCTATTCCTCCCCCATCCCACTTGAGTTAGCTGCCAGAGGGAGTAAATTTATGACCTTGGCTTTGTGTTGGACCACTTCGGCCAACAGTGATTTCACTTTTCTTCCTGCAAAGCCCTTTAAGGAAGTCTCTCTCTTTTTTTTAAGCCTCCAGTACATCACATGGAGCGATGGAAAAACTAAAACAGCGAGCGCCAGCATTTATTCTGGCACTCATTACATTACAGGGAAATGGACGGTTCTTCTCCACAAGCTCGGGGTGTAATTTATGGTTTTCATCATTGGGGTTTTGCTTTGGTTTAGCTCCCCCTATTGTTATTGTTATTTTTCTTTTTTTAAAGAAAGAAGGGTCTTATTTTCTCCTGGAACAGTCAGTCACTTTGAGCATCTGGATCAAATCACCAGGATGTTCTGTGTGTGTGTGTGTGTGTGTGTGTGTGTGTGTGTGTAGGTGGCGAGTCGTAAGTTTTGCCTATTGGGAAAAAAATGAATGTTGTCATCTATCTGAGGTTCTACCTCTGGAAAAGTTTATGATTGCGTCGAGACGGCCTTGCGCTGACTCCAAGCAATGCTGTCACTTCAAGAAAAAATGGTCATCTACTCCAGCTGAGGGCAGACTCGTAAGGAATTGGGATTTTGTGGCACCCAGGAAGGCTCAGAAGCCTCCTCTGGTAGCTGCCTGGTGATGTACTGACTAGAGTGTAATGGTTAGCAATAGGGAGATGGAGAAAAATCCAGAGTGTAGTAGTTGGAATGTCTGACTAGGACCTTGAGAGAGGCCAGGGTTCAAATCCTCACTTGGCCATAAAGCTCACTGTGTGTGACCATGTGCCAGTCACTTTCTCTCAGTCTAGTGTACCTCACAGGGTTGTTGTGAAGATAAAATGGCGAAGAGGAGAGCCATGTATACCACCTTGAGCTCCTTGCAGGAAAAGCAGGGGAATAGGACATAAATGCAATACATAAATGCTTGCTCTTTCCCCATGCCTCTGCGGCTTGGCAAGAATCCAGAGGTGGGCCAGAACAATCATGGGTTCAATCTTTGGCATTTTCAGGTGAATCTGGGAATATCCCTGTACAAAACCTTGGAAAGCTGCAGCCCTGTGTTGATAAAGCTAAGTTAGGTGAATCAAAGTTCTGGTTCAAAATAAGGCAGCTTCCTAGATTTCTCTTTAAATCACTTCCCGTTTATACAGACGTATGAGGACGAGAAGCCTGTGATAGTTTTGAGAGATGTAGCTTAGTGGCAGAGCATCTGTTATACTCACAGAAAGGTCCAGGGTTCAATCCCTGGCATCTCCTGGTAAAGCCATGGTAACTTTTTATGCTCTCACCAGAGGACAGTGTGAGGAAGCTCACAAGGGCAGCAGCACTGAGTGTGTGTGCACTTTTGTGTTGGGAGAGGCTGTTGTCGGGCATTTGGATGAAAACACCAAAACCTAGAACACAAGAATGTAAGAATAGCCTCCTGGATCAGGCCAGTGGCCCATCTATTGCCTGTTCTCACTGTTGCTAAGCAGATGCCTATGGTCAACCTGCAAGCAGGACCTAAGCACAAGAGCAACCCTCTCTCCTCCTGTAGTTTCCAGCAACTGGGATCCAGAAGCATTGCTGCCTCCAATTGTGGCAGCAGTGCATAGCCATCATGGCTAGTAGCCTTCTCCTCCTCTATGAATTCGTCTGATCCTCTTTTAAAGCTGTCTAGGTTGGTGGACATCACTGCCTCCTGTGGGAGGTAGTTCCATACTTTGACTATGCACTGCGTGAAGGACTTTTTAATGTGCCCTGAATGCATTCAGCTGCATTGGATGTTCATGGGTTAAGAGAGATCCACTCTATCCACTTTCTCAATGCCCCACATAATTTTACTTAACAGGCAGCAGAAGAGGATCTGAGTATCCTAGTCCAATCCTCTCACCTAAAACCAACTAAGAATTTTTAAAAAGCAGGCCAAACTTATTATGGAATGCAAACTGAATTCTAATAGACTAAAAGCAAATGGAGAAACAAAACGAGTCGTTCTTGGTTCTCTGCTCTTGCATTTCCCAGTGAGACAGGGAAAGAGGAACTCTTTTCTCAGGATGCAAATGTTTGAGAAATCGGAGGATGGATTTGAGCATGACACCAGTGCTGGCAGAGCAGACCCCCTTTGGCAACCAGTGGAGAGCAGTCCATGCATTGGCTCATTACAGGGGATGGATAACATGAAGCACAGCTCACCATCAGTCTTTTGGCTTGTGGCTGCGTTTTGGAGGTTAGGTTTCCCTGATGGATAATGAGAGAGCAAGGGTGTAATTTGTTCCATGGAAATTATAACCTTACCATGGTGCTGCCTCTTTGGATGCTCATATTCCCTCTTTTCCCGCCTGTGAAACAAACAGCTTCTCTGCTCCCCCACACCATTTCCCTGAGACAATCCTTTCCTATACAAACGTAGTGGAGTCCAATAAATCTGAAATATTGTTTTCTGTTGTATAAGTCGTAATTTAAGGACACTTTTGATATAGAAGTTTAAACACTAGGCAATATAGGAACATTAGTTCCATTCCTTCCTTAACATCTGCATATCAGATTGATTTATTGATAATAAATATCTATAAAAAGTAATCATGGGGTGTGGTTTTTTTTAGTTTTAAAGGATTTAACCAGTCATTCTAGTATCTCAGATGTCTCAGAAGCTGAACAAAGTTGTTAACAAATGTTGTAGCTGTAGATATTGCCATTGGGTTGCATACTATAGCTGATATTTAGCTCTTAATACGACGTACGTTAAAAATTCATCTTCATCATGCATCAGTTGATCCAAGCACCATCTTTTCTCCAATTTTGAAAGTTGGGTTTCCCCATAAAGTCAATTTACTATGGGAAAATGGGTCAAATCTTTTTTTATTAGACATTGTATTCCATAGCTTTCCAACTGATAATATTGTTTCCAGAGATAGCAACATTCTAATGTATTTTGATCCTAATACTGTCCATCCAACCAAAGGTGCGCTGTATGTATGTATGTATGTATGTATACAGTGGTACCTTGGTTGCTGAACGGCTTGGCTCCCAAACAAATCGGCTTCCAAACGCAGCGAACCCGGAAGTGAGTTTTCAAATGCTTTTCGGAAGCTGAACGTCGAAAATGGCTTCCATGGCTTCTGATTGAGTGCAGGAAGCTCCTGAAGCCAATTGGAAGCCACACCTTGGTTTTCGAATGGTTCTGGGAGTCGAAAGGACTTCCGGAACGGATTTAGTTTGACAACCAAGGTACCACTGTATTCCAGAGTTGCTTCTAATATTTAATGCTTGACAATAAATGAGCATGATGATATCGCTGAAAACCACGAGCAGGTGGAGAGGAGAGTGGCTCTTGTGCTTGACTCCTGCTTGGGGGCTTCCCACTGGGGCATCTGGTTAGCTACTGTGAGAGGCTGGACTAGATGGACCATTGGCCTGATCCAACAGGCTCTTCTTACATTTTTAAGAAATATAGAAACCATCCACTTTGGTGGGGAGTGGGATTATTAGTAATAATAATACCCACCAATCTGGTTGGATTTTCCCAGCCACTCTGGGTGACTTACAGCATATATTGAAACATAGTAAGCTGGTTCCCACTGGCCTGTGGGAGCATCCAATTTTTCCCTTCTATTATGCTCCTGAGATTGAAACACCGTTGAGGTGTGTCATTGTTCTCTTAGAGCTGATGGTTGAAAATTAGCCACGGCTTGTAGTAGTAGCAAATACAGGATCTTGGAGGAGGTTGAATTCCTGTGCCACCACCAGGGTTATATACTTCCACACACACCAGAAATTAGTGGAATTTACCCTCACCCCAAAGATAAGGCAAGCCCTCCTGCTCACATACACCCCAACCAACTGTAAGGAGGAGCCCAGTCAGATAGGCAGGGTAGGTAAAGATAAAGGTACTCTTGACCATTAGGTAGGTCCAGTTGCGGACGACTCTGGGGTTGCGTGCTTATCTCGCTCTGTAGGCCGAGGGAGCCGGCGTACAGCTTCCGGGTCATGTGGCCAGCATGACCAAGCTGCTTCTGGCAAAACTAGAGGAGAGCATGGAAACGCCGTTTACCTTCCCACCGGAGCAGTACCTATTTATCTACTTGCACTTTGACGTGCTTTCGAATTGCTAGGTTGGCAGGATCAGGGACCAAGCAACGGGAACTCACCCCATCGCAGGGATTCAAACCGCCAACTTTCTGATTGGCAAGCCCTAGGACCTGTGGTTTATTATATCATTAATCATAATTCATAAATCATGATTCATAAAAGGTAATTCATAAAAAGTAATTCATAAATCATTACTCATAATTCATAAAAAGCAATTCACAATTCATAATTTATAAATTATAAATCATGAATATCATAAATATCATAAATACCATGATTCAGGAATCAGGAACCATAAATAAACCACAATTCTTAATTCTTAATTCATAAATATCATGAATCATAAGTCAGAAAAGAATTCATAATTCATAAATATCAGTAATTGTAAATCATGATTTATAATTCATGATTTATAATTCATAATTCATAAATATCATGATTCATAATTCACAATTCATAATTCATAAATATCATGAATTGTAAATCATGAATTGTGATTCATGATTCATAATCCATAAATATCATGAATCGTAAATCATGAATCTTAATTCATAATTCATAAATATCATGAATCCTAAATCATGAATCGTGATTTGTAATTCATAAATATCATGAATCCTAAATCATGAATCGTGATTTGTAATTCATAATTCATAAATATCATGAATCGAAAATCATGAATCATAATTCATGATTCATAGGCTTGATTAGCCTCTCTCTGTTCTTGCCTCTGCACAAAATTACCTGTTCTTGTGACAGTAAAGGGCATCTCTGTCACCATAGAAATAGGCACGGAATGGAGTGAGATTTGTTTAGTCTCCATTTGAAAGAACCATGTGGACTAGGATCTTACTTTAGTTTTAGGGAAAGGGCCACAGCTCAGTAGTGGAGCATGTGCTTTGCATGCAGATGATTCCGGGTTCTTGATGGCATCTCCAGGTAGGCCTGGGGGAAAAAATCCCTGCCTGGAACCCTGGAGATCCAATGCTACCTGTCAGTGCACAGAATACTGATCAGTGTTCTGAAAGAGTGTAAGACAGGTTCCTAAGTACTATGAACAGCTATCCTCCCAAGGAACACTCCCAAAATAATCAAAATGGACACCTCCATGGATTGGCTAATTGGAATCCCCATTTAGTCTCCATCCTAAGAGAGACATGCCTAGTCCTCCTTGGAGTGAGGCAGATTTCAGAGTAGATGGGAAGCATTAAGTGCATCATCACTCAAGGGACAGGATGGGGGCCTGTAAGAGTGTGTTCCTAATGAGTTCCACAGGCTTTTGGAGAGAAGGCTGTGTCTCGTTTTACCTCTCTGCCTGTGTCTGTTGTGCGAACGAACCGGCTCCAAGAACATGGAAAATCCATCTCCTGCCAGATGGATGGTTTTCTCCCTGGCACACAGTCTCCTACTGGATCCACTTCAGGAGATGAAACCCTTTTAAACAAAACCGTGTGTGTGTGTTTCTCCCTGAGTCAGGAAGACTAGAGCTTTGAGATGGGGATGGGGACATTGATCCAGCATCATACAGAGAAGGCTCCACCCCTTCCTGGCTCTCAACCACTCAGCTGAAGTCAGGGCACATAAAAGAAAGTTCTTAGTTATGCAACTATGGAACTCACTCCCACAGAAGGCAGTGATGCACACCAACCTAAAAAGGTAAAGGGACCCCTGACCATTAGGTCCAGTCGTGGCTGACTCTGGGGTTGCGACGCTCATCTCGCTTTATTGGTCGAGGGAGCCGGTGTACAGCTTCTGGGTCATGTGGCCAGCATGACTAAGCCGCTTCTAGTGAACCAGAGCAGCGCACGGAAATGCCGTTTACCTTCCCGCCGGAGCAGTACCTATTTATCTACTTGCACTTTTTGGTGTGCTTTCGAACTGCTAGGTTGGCAGGAGCAGGGACCGAGCAACGGGAGCTCACTCCATTGTGGGGATTCGAACCACTGCCCTTCTGATCGGCAAGTCCTAGGCTCTGTGGTTTAACCTACAGCGCCACCCGCGTCCCTGCACACCAACCTAGATGGGTTTTTAAAAAGATTGGACAAATTCATGGAGGAGGAGAGGGCTATCAATGGCTACTAGCCTCAATGGCTGTGCTCTGCCTCCCGGTATTCAGAAGCATGACTGTCTCTAGTTGTGGAGGCAGAGCATGGCCGTTGTGACTAGTAGCCATTGCTAGCCTTATCCTCCATGAATAAATACATGATTATTCAGAAATAATGTAAGAATGAAAGAAGAGACTGCTAGATCAGGCCAGTGGCCCATTGGGTCCAGCATCCTGTTCTCCCAGTGGCCAACCTGGAATGCTCTCTCCTCTTGCAGTTTCCAGGAACAGGTATTCAGAAATATTGCTGCCTCCCACCATGGAGGCATAGCACAGCTATCCTGGCTAATAGCCCTCATTAGCCCTCTCCTCCATGAATTTGCCCAGTCCTCTTTGAAAGCCATCTAAGTTGTTGGCCATCACTGCCTCCTGTGGGAGGGAGTTCCATAGGTTCACTATGCATTGCTTGAAGAAGGCTTTTTTTAAAAAATCTGTTCTGAATCTTCCTGCAGTCAACATTGTTGGATGTCTGCCAGTTCTAGTAATATGAGAGAGGGAGCAAAACTTTCCCCTCGACTTTCTCCATGCCATGCATTGCATCATTTTATAAACTTCTGTCATGTTGCGTCTTACTCACCTTTTCTCCAAACTGAAAAATCCATTCCCTTGATCGTTTGGGTTGCTCTTAGATTGTGATGATTTCATTGGAAGTCACTAATTTGCTTTTTGAGTTCCTGATTCGACGAATTTAGAAATATGTTGCACCCAAACATACTCTAAGTGTGCATGCAGTGTAGAAATTTCCTGAGCTGTTGTTCTGGCAATCATCTGGGGCTCCTCCCTCTTAACCCCCCACTCCACCCCCATGGCCTTCTTCAGCTATTCATGACTCACGGTGGAAAAATGTCAAAACAAGTGTAAGGACATTTAATTTGATTTGTTTTGGCTGGTTGGAACACAGCAAACCGGGCATCTGAGCAGGCTGTATTTTCCACACACACCCCACCCCCTAACAAAGAATTCAAGAATGGAATGATCTGGTGAGTGTAGGTAGCTCTTGCTTTAATTGGCCCAGCCTCCTTAGTAACTTTTGGAAGATCAGAGACCATCCGTAGTCTAGGACTGCTGAATTAACAAGACAATTTGGCCTGATCAACTAATTTTTCAAGTGAGCTTCGTGAGTATCTGAGTTTGGAGGAGCTTTGGGGGAGAACCACTGTCATGAGCCTTCCTCCCTCATTGAGCATACCTGCTTACCCCTATTAAAAAGGATACGAGCCCTGCTGGATGAGGTCAATGAGCCTTCTGGAAGAAAAGAAAAGAAGAAAAGAGGAGATATGATAGCCATCTTCAAATATCAAATGAATTCAAGTTACAAGAAAGAAGGCTCCAAATAAACATAAGGAAGAACTCTCTGAGGGCAAGAGCTGTTCGACTGTGCAGCGAACGGGAGGTTGTAGAGGCTTTTAAGCAGATGTTGCATGGCCATCAGTCATGGATGCTTTAGCTGAGATTCCTGCATTGCAGGGGGTTGGGCTAGATGACCTTTGGAGGTGCTTTCCAACTGTACAATTATATGACAGTGAAAAGTTTGGGGAAACTGGAAGACAGATTTAGGCACATTTCTCCTTAGAATAAGCTCATGCTTGGCTTGGGGGCTCTTCAATGTGTAACACCGGTATGATTTTGAAAAATTAAACGGCCTGTTTCGCTGGGGCTGTTTTGATGGTTTGGAGGCCGGGGAAAATTTGAATCCCTGGATTAAATGCCGAAACCAAAACCCAATGGCAAATGGGAACTTATGCCAAGGAAGGAAACTTAATATCCAATTGAACAGAGAAAGAAAACACCAGAGTCAGGGGTTGCGACTTAACTCCCGAGAAGCTGCAGAGATGAAACCAGGGTTTGGGCAGCCTTTGGCAGTGCAGAGACCCTTGAATTTGGCTGACGGAGGCATTTTTGGGATCCCTCTGGACCCACTCCGTTTCTCCAACAAAAACTTAGCAATTTCCATCACAACAGCAGCCTGTTTTGGATCAAGGGGCCAGTTCGGAGGAGACAGCCGGTTCCCGCATCGATCTGCAGCGGGCAGGGAGGTGCCAGCAACAACATCCCAGTTCCCAGCCTCTATTTGGCAGCCAGCAATAGATGTGGAAAGGATCCGAGCCTTATTCTTGGCTGCTTCAGGACGCCATGTAGGAATGAGACGTTGGTGATGGGGAACCAGGAATGGTATTGTGTTTTGTTGATTCCTGGCTCTGCCTGGTTCTTGTTATAATTTTATGATCGACTATGGTGTCGATCATGCCAACCTTACAAAGTAGCCCACAAACTACCTGGGCTGCCCACACAATACCTGAGAGGGATTCTTGAGCTGCAAATCTTGCATTGCAGATGGTTGGCCTAGATAATCAGTGGGTTCTCTTCCAACTCTACAATTATATGATTCCAAGTAATTTGTGTGGGGTCAGCTCAATACATTTTTGCTAACCAGAGATAAAGGGAGGAATGTGGCTCAGAGGAAGAACATCTGCTTTGCATGCAGAAGGTCCCAGGTTTGATCCCCAGTGGTGTCCTCATGGTGTGACAGCCGAACACTTCCTTCTGTAAAGTTGGAGAGTCGCCACTACGGCTCAGTGCAGACAGTTGTGAGCTAAATAGACTGTCTGAAGGCACCTCCTATGTTCCTTTTTAATTCAGCCCATTGTTATACAGAACACTGAGAACTCAAATCTTACTTTATTCTCCTCATCAGCTGTAGGGACGGCATGCCAACCTATGTCCATTATGTGTCAATCATAGGTCTGTTCCATCCAAGAGAATGCATGAAAACATATGCACGTAAAACATACATTTTTTGTACACACCTCTTCCCAGCCTCTACAGAATTTCAGATAAGTCTCTTCCTTTAAATTCCTGGGAGTCCATCTTAGGGAAGACCTTACTTGGAAGGTCAATACAGCCCAGTTGGTTAGGAAGGCCCAACAGAGACTTCATTTCCTTAGGGTCTTGCGAAAGAACAATGTTAGACAGCAACTGATTATTTCCTTCTATCGGTCCATGATAGAAAGTGTTCTGTCATACTGTATTATGGTGTGGTACACTGGTTTGACAGCCATGGACAGAAAGTCCCTACAGAGGGTGGTGAAGACAGCACACGATATCATGGGCTGTCCCCTGAGTCTGCTAGATGTCATTGCAGGAGACCGTTGCCTAAGAAGAGTGAGGAACATTTTCAGGGATGACTCACACCCTGGCCAGCACCTTTTTAATCTCCTGCCCTCAGGCAGGAGATATAGAAGCATGATAAGCCGCACCAACAGGTTAAAGAACAGTTTCTACCTGTGAGCCATGAGGCTGCTGAATGGAAGACAGCAACATTGCAGCTGGGTTTGGGATTGGTGGTCGAAGGACAGCACATAGAGTGTAACAAGGACTGAGAGATTGTGGGAGGGAGCGGGGGGCTCGTTTAATCTCACTGTAAACAAGTGGTACAGTGACAATAAAGTATTTCTATTTCTTCTTTTTTTTCTATTCTCAGCCCTACCTGGAGAGGCTTTTGGGGTTCAAACTGGGACCTTCTGAATGCAAAGCAGATACTTAGTCACTCAGCCTTGACCTTTCTCAAATAAATTGTGTATGGAATGGAGATCAAGGAAGGGCTTTTGGTGGTGCCATTGACTTGTGAACATAAGGATATGAATGGCTCGGTTGGTTAGAGCATCATGCTGATAATGGCAAGGTTGCAAATTCAAGCGCTGTGTGGGATAGCTGCATATTCCTGCATTGGACTAGATGATCCTCTGACTCCTTTCCAAGTCTATGGTTTATCATCATAGTTGCCCATAGCAAAGGTTTGAAGCTGTATTGTCAAAAACCACTACTCATTTTTACTTATCAGTATAGTGTGTATGTGTGTGAAATACCTGTGCAAATGCAGGGGGGCATGTTTCACTCATCTCTACGCCTTAACACACTTTCATAACCCCATGCTTGATGGAGGCCATATGATAAATGTCACAGGGGGCCCCATCCAGAATCATGAGGGTGCTAGCAAAGTCACTTAAACGATGCTGACTGAGTCCAGAGAGAAAAGAAATGCTGATAACACTTTACTGAGGAAACAAGGCATGTAATTTGAGCAGAAAGAAACAGATGTTCTATCTTCCTTGAGACCTTGTACATGACAAGGAGACGTTCAACCAGACATGGGAAGGGGTACTCCCTCTCACCCACACAGCCAATCAGAGCACGGGTACCTCACAAAATAACATTCCACCTTCCCTGGTTGCTAAGCAGCACTTCTAACCGCTCCACTCTTGGCCAATTGACTTCCCAGCGGCAGAATTAATTCTTAAATTCCAAACTGAGTGATCCCTGCCCTTGCACTTCCAGTGAAGGGTGCAGGGGGTCTTATCTACAAAAAGTAGATACAAAAAGCACCCAGATTTTAAGATCTATAACAAATGGGAAAACAAGGTTTGACATTATTTGTCCTGTTATTTTCCCTCTTTATAGGCTTAAGAGAGGTACTTGAAAGGCTTTGTCGTTTTTGTTAAAATAGATTTCTGCAGAGAGAGAGAATATGGATTTATGGGCAGCAGACTTGACAGTCTACAGGCAGGAGAAACAAAATAAACTAGCTTCCAAATTGCAACCAAACCACTTTTGCAGACTGGAAAATATTAGGATGGGCTGTTTAGGATGGACTATTTTGGTATCTGATTTTTTTCCCGCTTCTGCTTTTAAAAAAAAAAAAAAAAAAAATTTGCACTGCTATTTTGCCTGGTTTGGCTGAGGTCAAATTAATCCACTACAAGATGGTTGTAATGATAGAGCTTGTAATTTGTTGACACTCCCTTAATGCTAAGAAGTTGACAATTTGAGGATTTGCCCTTGAGTCGCATTACCTAGGCAGTTCCTTAGGTCTTCACTTTTGAGTTCTAGCAGAGATTACAGGAGGCTCCTCTGAATGAAGTTTCTTTAGAAAACTGCTGCTCAGTCCTGGGGCCTGTTGGTTGGACTCAGAAACATTACAATACTCCTTGAAAATGTTTACTCTCTCTAGAATTGCTGCAGAAGGAACAACACCCTCAAAAGGTGGTAGTGGTGGGAAGAGGAGGAGTCTCAAAATAGGACAGGGGACATGAGCTGTGACACCACCTATCCCACAAGCGGTGTCACTGCATCTTCTCCACTATGAAGAACCTTCCATAGAGTGACACTGCCCAGACTGACCGTTGGTTCCTTCTGGGCAGGAAGCAGTATAAAATGACTTCCTGTTTCAGGAATTTATTTATTTCAGCTTGAGAGTCAAGGTCTACTTGTGGTCTAGTGTCTCTGGTACTGATCTTTAGTCCTCTTGACACCTGGTCATTAGTCTGGTTCAGTTCTAAGGCAGCTTTCTATGTTCTTATTTAATTCAGTCCTTGATTCAGAACTATGATAACTACTATCTCACTTTGTTTTGGGGGAAGCAGCTGGGTGCCAGAGTACCTACTCTGCATGTAGCAGGCCCCAGTTCAATTTCCAGAATCTCCAGAAAGAGCTAGGAGAGAACCCCACTGCCAGAAACCCTGGAGAGTGACTGCCGGTCAAAGTAGACAGTACTGAGCTAGATAGACCAAGCATCCGACTTGAGATAAGGCAGCTTCTTACATTGCTATTTAAATCTGTCCTTATTTCAGAGCCATGAGGACTAGAGTCGTATTTATTTTTATGGGAAGGGCTGTAGCTCAGTGGTACAGCATATTATTATTATTATTATTATTATTATTATTATTATTATTATTTTGCATGCAAAAGGTACCTAGTCCAATTTCCCACTGGCATCTCCAGGTAGGGCTGGGATGGTCTCCTGCCTGAAACCCTGGAAAGCTGCTGCAAGTCATCATTGACAATACAGTCATACCTTGAGTTGAAGTAGCTTCAGGTTAAGTATTTTCGGGTTGTGCTCCGCGGCGACCTGGAAGTAATGGATCACGTTACTTCTGGGTTTCGCCGCTCGTTGCATGCGCACACACTCAAAATGAAGTCATGCACATGCACGGAAGTGGCGAAACGTGACCCGCGCATGCGCAGTCGCGTGTTACGTTCTACTCAGGATGCGAACGGGGCTCCAGAACGGATCCCTTTCGCATCCCGAGGTACCACTGTACTGAGCCAGGTGCACCCAGTGCTCTCCAAACACCATCATTGTAACAATAACAGCAATCCCTGCTAGCTCATGTTAAAAGTCTTTCCAGCAGAGGAAGAAAATGTTGACTGGAATGTGGTGAAATTTGAATGAAAAGTCACACCGCTTAAATAACAACACACGCACATACACACACACATGCCCGAGCTGTTTTGGATTCTGTGGCTTTTCTCCATGTGTTTTCAATCAGCCAGGGTTTTGGAACAGGAGCCCAGAATGCCTTGCTCCATTCGAGGCGAGAGAGAGGAAAATGCTGATCTTGCAGATGTAATAACAGAAAGAGCTGTTCCCCCCTCCACTGCCCCGTAGCAGAAGAATGACATCTGAGAGCTCAAATAAATCAGCCTTCCTTAAATCAACCTTCCTTCCCCTTTAAAGGAGCATGAATTGGTAACTAAATATTACTCTAACAAAAGAAAGAGAAGAAGAAACTGCCGAGTGTGTGTGTTTGTGTGTGCTGCTTATTCAATCATCACACCAACCCACTACATTTTTGGCCCAGTGACTGAGAGTCGACTGTAGAATTGATATTTTTCTTATTATTTCAGCTATTTATATACTGGAATTTTGAAAGAGAGGGGAGAAGGCTATCAATGAATACTAGCCTCTACAGTGAAAATAAATCTTATGCCAGAAATTATGGAGAGGTTCTGCTAGCCAGTGCAGACAATATTGAGCTAAAGGCAGTTGAAGGCAGTTTCCCATGCTCCCATCACTTTCTTCTGAATGATGAGGACTAGAATCTGATATTGTTTATAAGGAAAGGACCATGGCCCAGTGGTTAGAATGTCTGCTTGACATGCAGAACGTCTCGGGTTCAGTCCCCAATGGCATATCCATATAGATCTGGAAGAGACCCCTGCCTGAAATCCTGGAGAGCTTCTTGCCAGTCAGTGTACACAACTGCTCCCCAAATCCTGGTGTTAGTTGTTTTGCACAAATCTCCCATCAGTCCCAGCTGGTCCAGAGCATCTGGCAGACTTTGGGTTGGAAAGGCAACGCTGAGCTATGTGGGTCATTAGTACGACCTGGTATAAAGGTCCTATATGATCTGCAAGACCAGATCAAGGATTCATTCAGGGGTGCAACAGACATCAGGGTGGGCACCTTGGTCTCCCTCTCAGTTTTAATTGTTTAACTTGCTTACTTGCTGGATCGTGTCATCTGATTTTCAAGCCATATTGGAATTGCTGTTATGCAAGTGCATTAAATTAATACAGACTCTTATTTCAGAAAAGGGTATTAAGGGGGCAGAGTGACTGGCCTGTGTGGAAAAGTTGCAGCATTTGGGACTTTTCGGTTTAGAGAAAAGGCAAGTAAGAGGCAACATGATGGAAGTTTATAAAATTACACAAGGCATGGAGAAAGTGGCTAGAGAAAAGTCCGTCCCCCCCGCCCCCATAATATGAGAACTCGTGGGTATCCATTGAAGCTGAATGTTGGAAGATTCAGAACAGATGAAAGAAAGGCCTTCTTCATACAGCTCATAGTTACATCATGGAACTGCCCTCCACCCCCCAGGAGGCAATGATGGCTTTAAAAGAGGACTGGACAAGACTGGACATGGAGGAGAAGAGGGCTAATGAGAGTTTATTAGTCACAATGGCTGTTCCCTGCCTCCACATTAGAGACAGCAGTGCTTCTGAAAACCAGTTGTTGGGAACAGCAGGAAGGGAAAGTGCTCTTGTGCTTAAATCCTGCTTCCAGATTTCCCAAAAGAGGCACCTGGTTGGCAACTGTGAGAACAGGGTGCTGGACTAGATGGACTAGCAGCCTCTTCTTATCCTCTAATTTTATTTACAGTCATACCTTGGGTTACAGCCGCTTCAGGTTGCGTTTTTTCGGGTTGCGGTCCACCAAAAGCCAGAAGTACCGGAATGGGTTACTTCCAGGTTTCGGCGGTCGTGCATGCGCAGAAGCACTAAATCGCGCTTTGCGCATGTGCAGAAGCGCAGGGTCACAACCCACACGTGCGCAGATGCGGGTTGCAAACGCTGCGGGTTGCGAACGTGCATCCCGCACGGATCACGTTCACAACCCAAGCGTCCACTGTATTTATTTATTTAAGTACATTAATACGGACTCATTTTCCCAAGTGCATTACTGCCTGCCACTGAACTGGAATGATAGTGCTCAGGCAATCCATTTCTGGAGTCAGCCTGGAGTCACTAAAACTGTCACAGTGATGAGTGCAAGCAAATAGCCTAGTTTACTGTGAGCAAATTTGCATGGCATTTTAAGCACAGCATTTTAAGACTTGGCTGGCGATGATCAGTTAGCGCCCCTCATTCGCCAGAGCCTTGCCAGTCTCAGTTTGTCAAGAGTTGAGGTCCTGCTGTACTGATGCTGTCTGCTGAGCAATGTGCTTTTGCCAGTAGTGTCTTATTCCATTGGGTGAGCCATCAGTGATAGACTGGAGCTGGGAATCTCGTGCATGTCTCCAAGCCTAATATAATGCAACATAAGCCACTTCTAAGTGGTTGGTAGATCAGTATGGTGGCAAATGCTTGTATTTCTGCCTCCCCCCCTTTTTTTTAGAGGGTGGGATAACTCAGCGGGACATGCCCAGGCTTCATTCCTTTGGCTCTTCCTTTCTGCTGCTAGGTTACTTCTGGGTGTCCATGAATCCCAATGCTAGCAGAGGAGAGAAAAACCTTTCTTTATCCACTTTCTCCATGCGCTGCATCAATTTATTACATTCTATCATGCCATCTCTTGCTTGCCATTTCTCTAAACTGAAAAGTCCCAGAAACTGCAATGTTTCTTCATGGGGAAATTGCTCTATCTGCCTTGACCATTTTGGCTGCCATTTCCTGAACCATTCTGTCCTTGATGGGGTTGGGCATCTGGACAGCTTTATCTGGAAAGAGGGTGCTGGTCCAGGAGGAAAGACTCTTCTGTTTTCATCAGAAACCTGGTGAACTTTGTCATTTGCCAGAAATATTTCACTCCCATCAGAGGTCTCTGGCATCTTTGTTGAAATTGTCCAAAACTTAGCAACCTGGATTATATACAGCTATGGAAAGATATTTTGGGGCAGAGGTGAAGGATGCATATTGTTATGGGCCACCCCAATCCATGCCGAGCTGTGCATGGGGTTCCAGGGGTCTTGACCCCAACTGTGCTCCTTTGGAGAACTGATATTGCGGTGGTGACTGCCGTGCCTTTAGAAATATGGTTTAGTTAAACATGAGGGTGAAAGAGGAGAGCGCAAAATATGGTTTGGAGCTCAACATCAAAAAAATGAAGATCATGGCCACTGGTCCCAACACCTCCTGGCAAATAGAAGGGGAAGAAATGGAGGCAGTGAGAGATTTTACTTTCTTGGGCTCCATGATCACTGCAGATGGTGACAGCAGCCACGAAATTAAAAGACGCCTGCTTCTTGGGAGAAACGGAATCACAAATCTAGACAGCATCTTAAAAAGCAGAGACATTACCTTGCCAACAAAGGTCCGTATAGTTAAAGCTATGGTTTTCCCAGAAGTGATGTATGGAAGTGAGAGCTGGACCATAAAGAAGGCTGATCGCCAAAGAATTGATGCTTTTGAATTATGGTGCTGGAGGAGACTCTTGAGAGTCCCATGGACTGCAAGAAGATCAGACCTATCCATTCTTAAGGAAATCAGCCCTGAGTGCTCACTGGAAGGACAGATCCTGAAGCTGAGACTCCAATATTTTGGCCACCTCATGAGAAGAAAAGACTCCCTGGAAAAGACCTTGATGTTGGGAAAGATGGAGCGCACAAGGAGAAGGGGACAACAGAGAACGAGATGGTTGGATAGTGTTCTCGAAGCTACCAACATGAGTTTGAGCAAACTGCGGGAGGCAGTGGAAGACAGGAGTGCCTGGTGTGCTCTGGTCCATGGGGTCACGAAGAGTCGGACACGACTAAATGACTAAACAACAACAACACCTTCAGTCTACACAGAGGGAGTACATCTCAAGAGGAGTTTGCTCCCCACAGTCGTGCAGCACTGGAGTCCAAAGCATCCCTCCCAGCCTGCCTTCAGCCATCCAGCCAAGACCATTCTGCCCTTTCTCAGCTATTCCAAGCCTCATAGCAAAGGCCCCCAACTCTTCCTGTCACCTCACACCCAGTTACTCTGGCAACCTTCTAAATCCCCTATGTCTGTTCACACCTCAGGGCAAGGGGGGGGGGGAGACTGTTCTCTTGAATTGCCAGTGGCCCTCAGTGGGCCTGTATTGTTTCTTAATTGTCCTTAATTGGTCAGATTGTTTTGCATAGACTAGCCCAGGAATTCCTCTACAGCTTCAATTTTCCTTTCATATTCCAAATAATCAAAATGCTACCATTTATTAATTTCTACTATCCACTAATAGACTCCAATGCCTCATATCTCTAACTATATATTTGACATCTCCCTGCCAGGGATGATAGTGGGTGGGAGAAGATAAGTTTCCTCCTGATATGTTTGGATTAAGACTTTGAGGGGGTCTGGTAGCCATCAGCCAGGAAGTAACACGAATTAACCTTATGACCTCTGCAAATCTCAGCTGCTAAATACAGAGCAATAGGTTATTCTCAGAGTTGTCTGGTTGGGTGAAGATTTGGGAAGAGCCGTGTTTAGAAACTAAGCCTGCACAACAAGCTTTGCAGATCGTGTGTGTGTGTGTGTGTGTGTGTGTGTGTCTTACACACAGACACACAGGTAGGTAGCTGTGTTGGTCTGATGCAGTCGAAATAAATAAAAAAATTGTCCAGTAGCACCTTAAAGGTAAAGGTAAAGGGACCCCTGACTGTTAAGTCCAGTCGCAAACAACTCTGGGGTTGCAGCGCTCATCTCGCTTTACTGGCCGAGGGAGCCAGCGTTTGTCTGCAGCCAGCTTCCGGGTCATGTGGCCAGCATGACTAAGCCCCTTCTGGCGAAACAGAGCAGCGAACGGAAACTCCATTTACCTTCCCACCGGAGCGGTACCTATTTATCTACTTGCATTTTGATGTGCTTTCAAACTGCTAGGTTGGCAGGAGCAGGGACCAAGCAACGGGAGCTCATCCCATCGTGGGGATTTGAACCATTGACCTTCTGATCGGCAAGCCCTAGGCTCTGTGCTTTAGACCACAGTGCCACTCCCTCCCCATCGTAAAGGTAAAGGGACCCCAGACCAATAAGTCCAGTCACGAACGACTCTGGGGTTGTGGTACTGTTAATGACTGCAATTAGTCCTACAGCTGCGCACGCGCGGGTCGCAATTCGGCACTTCTGCGCATGTGCAAGCACAATCGCCGAAACCTGGAAGTAACCCATTCCGGTACTTCTGGGTTCAGCACGGTGCGCAACCCGAAAACGCACAACCTGAAGCGCCTGTAACCCAAGGTGTGACTGTATTGGATTCTTGGCTCATTACACATGCTAAAGCTATTTTTGGTCATCTGCATACTATCCCTTGCTTTTTCCTGTAGGACTAATTGCAGTCGTTAACAGTCATCAACAGGTTTACCATACCCACTGAGTCAATTACCCATTGCCTACTACCCTTCTGAGAAAAACCCCACCCCATCCTCCCACTATATATAAGGGTCTGGTGACTTCTGTTTCAGTGTAACTGAAAAAGTGTGCATGGACATGAAAGCTTATGCAGGGGTTGGCAAGGTTTACCTCACCTGGGCCAGTTCACTCCAGCGGAGATCTCTCTGTGGACTGGATTGCGCGTGCGCATGAGCACCCACACCAGCAATTTCCGGTGTCTGTGCAGACATGATTTCCGACACCTGCATCTGCGCAGATGTGATTTCTGGTGCCACGGAAGCGAGTCCCTGTGCCGCACTGTGTTGGTTTAGTGCAGCGCGTGGGGACTTGCTGAGCGGGCAGCTTGG